ATTACATACATTCTCTAACCTCAATGTGTCTAAATTAATATCATGTAAGACATGTAAACAATGTTCTCCTTCAACTGCACTCAAGTAAACTAGAGTAAATTCAATATAGATTTTAAACATAAAATCACATGCATAGACAATCACTTCTCATTTCTCAATTAGAAGAGTATAACAACATAAATTTAATAGCTACAAAATTTGTAATAGCATTGTCTATCACATTAATCAAATATTAACTTCGAATAGACCATCAATAGTTCAACTACTATGACCAAAAGTCTTACCTTAATTAGGGTATTGATTTTCACTTTTTAACTTTCTCCAAGTTACGAAGTGTATATAATAGTCATAGCATTTTACAAGTTGAAATAATGAGCATAGAAACGAATAGTGCACCAGGTAGATACTCGGAAAAAGAAAGGTGGCGCACTAGATACACTTAAATACCAAGTTTTTTCTAGAATCAATCTTAGACATACACTTTTATTTTATCACACTACTTTTCAATTAAGATCTCATAACAATTTATGCTTAATATTTTCTTACCCATAAACATACAATAATTAGGCTTTAACTATTCATTTCATCTAGTCTAAGTCTTTAAACTTATCAAAAAGAGTTGTCACTATATTTTGAAGATAACTCGAAGACTTGTAAATAATTACATGTAATGATATAACATGAAAATAAATAATTTGACCTCAAAAGTTGACTAACTAGCAACCAAGAGCAGACTTGTCCATTCTTCGCATGCCTAATTTTTCAATCCTTTTTCTCATTATTGTCAATCAAAGTATCCACAGACCGAGTCGACCTTTCTCTCACAATTTGTTTATTCTCGTTTTCTCGATCCTGTGTTATATTTTCCTAAATAAATTTCCTTGGGATCCACGCTTTGCCAATCAAGTTTCCAAGTCCCTTGCATGATCATTTTCATTTGATTCGTTATTCTCTAAAAAACATAAATAAAAATTCAAGTCACTAAATGAATTTAGGAACCAATCTAAATATATCATAATTTTCGGAACAAACATGCAAGTGTAATAACAGAACAAGGGACTTGATTCAAGAAATTTAAAGCTAATATGTCCAATTTATTAATTTAATTGTAAAACAACGGATCAAATTGAATAATTATTAAACACAGAATGACACGAAGAAAATTACCCCTTTAAACACAAAACACGCAAATCCCGTTAGTGATACTGGTCGATTTTTGGGTCAACGTTAAAACAGCGTCGTTTTGGAGCATGTATACATGGCTATTTTCTCAGCCTTTTCTGCAATATTAATGCTTCCCGGCTGTGGCATTGTCGTAGTGAAGGAGATAACACGTTAACTTGCTGTCAGACTTCTTTGATGGCGACAACTGTGGCAATGTCATTTAGAGTTTCATATCAAACCCCTAAAGATACTTGATGAAGCTAGCCCAGACTCGTGGCCCCCATATAAAACAAAATAATAATAATAATTGTAATAAATATTTGTGATAGTAATAATCAAAGAAAATGTCTAATGAGTTTTCATGATCTGTAAGCCCACGTCTCGCTATTTTCATGTCTATAAACTAATACGTGGAAGCAGAAGTAATTATAATAAATAAATGATAATTGCTTTCTTTTTAGTGGAAGTAGTTTCCACGTAGTCTTTATATCTATCATTAACATATATTTTTCAGATTCATTCACTTTAATAAAATGTTAATAAATGAGGACAAATAGTTTCTGTTAAATAAATAAGTAAAATAAATAAATCGTACCAATACATTTTATTTTAAATGAAATTAATCATTCGTACTTACTAATCAAAGATCAACTTTTAATGTTTGAAATAACATAACCATTCAACACTTCCTTTTTTTAGGTATTGTGTGTGAGTCCTACTCTTAGCTCATATAACCGCTTTTCTACATATCATATACATATGAGAGTAAGGGTTGTTTGTTTGGCTCTGAATGGAATCATTCAGCGCCGAATATTAAACCGTTCAGCGTTCAACATTCAGCGTGTTTGTTTGTAACCTCTGAATTATTCAGATCCATTATCAAACAACATGTCACATTCAGAACTAATTCATACAGAGCCTCTGAATCATTCAGGCAATTGAATCATTCAACGCTTAATCATTCTAAAGTAAACAAACAACCCCTAACACACGATTTAATTTGCATAGTCGACTTTGCTAAAAGATATAGCTTTTTTTTATTTGCTTCAAAAGAAATCAACATAAGATCAAATAAGAAAAGATTGCAGTCTCCACAAATTAAACTTAGAGAAGTTTTCGGTTATTTTAACAGTAGCATGAAAATTGTTTCTAAATCGTTAGAAAAATGTATTGCTGCAAAATGGAGATGTTAGCATTGACTAACATAAATAAGATATAATTATTGTGTCGTGTGATCACTATTTTAGAAGCAATTTTGTCTGGATTGGTGTAATCCCAAAAGTGAACGTTGTCCCCCAAGGTTAACAAAGTTTTTCAGATTTTGTACGCACGAAATAAGGAAATAGAACTCGCTTGACATTGTTTTTTTTACGAAGATAAAGAAGAAGATAATTGTAGAGAAAACACGGAATTGGTGTGTAAAATAGAGAAAAATAGTTTGATGTTGTAAGGAAAAGATAAGGGATAAATCACTAATAAATAAAGGCGGTAATCATAAAATCTTAACCACTTTTCAATATCTCTCAAATATAAAAAAATTAAAAATTATTTTTTATTTAATTTTTTGCATTGCCCAACACAACGTTCACACCCTTGACAAATTATGGTGCTTGAACTCAAGACCTTAAGGAATAACGACAATTCTTTTATCGTTAAGGTAGCTTGGTTCGTATTGTGTTATTCATATATGAAGGTAAGTGTTAGTATAGATAATTGTGATTGACGAAGTAGAGTTGATTAAAGTTGCCATGGACTCCCAAAAAGAAATTGAAGAGAGCAAGAATCTAATTTTAAATTCTTATATATTTTAAATATTTTTGAATTTTTTATTAAAATTTTATTTTTTTTCTCTTTAAAATCATATAAATTATCCTATAAATTTATCTCTTAATAGAGTAGAGCTTTGTTGGGTTTTTTTCTTCTTTGGTTAGAGTTGCCATCCACTGCTCTTTCCCTCGTTATCCATCTGCAACTGGTTATATCCCACCTACACGCTCTTACTAGTCTGTTAACCATGCGTTGACTCCTCTATTACATATTAGAGAATAGAGAATATTTAAGGATCAGATTCTAGTTTACCAAACCATAAAATAAAATAAGAATCCAAATATGGCATTTTATTTTGGCGTTATTATTTTAAACCCCTAAAAAATTTCATTTATTGGAACAATACTTCTCAAATATGATTTTTTTTTTAAATTCCTCCAAATTGCCCATATAGGATGACCTCGCGTATTACAAAAAGTGAGCTCAGACTTCGCGTTTTATGAAAAACGAGTTTCATGCATTTATTCTTGTCTTATCCAAAAATTAAATGAGTTTATCTAAAAAATTGATGGGTCTCTCATCCAATAAAACGTGAGGTTCAATAAATGCATTTTTGTAGGACGCAAGGTCGTCATACGTGTGCAGTTTAAGGGTATTTTTCCAAAAAATTCCTGTTAGGAAGATACTATTCTAATAAATGAATTTTTTTGGGGTTTTTAAACTAATAACACCTTTTATTTTACCAACTCGCAAACCTTCCTTATTTCTCAAAGGGTTTTTCCAGGGTTCTAGCAAGTAGCAACCACCCAGATCACAAATTCTCCTAAACACTTTGTTTTCAGTTTACCCAAATGGAAGATAGTGAAGACGAACACTAAAAAGTAGGGGACTTAGGCTTAGCGATGCATAGTTCCACAAGTAGTATATGGTGGGGAAATGACATAAGACCCATGTACTTGAAGCAACTTAGCTGTTGTATGATGATTTATGCAACGTTAATAAGATGAAAAAGTAGTGACGGAGATGATGGTCGATACCGGTATAATTTGTGCAAGAGAGGAAATGTTGGGCATGCGATGCAATTAGTTGAGAAGATGGAGGCTCATCGTTATCCAACTAATACTGGCTACTTATAACTTTTTGGTTAGAGGGCTTTGTATGCATGGAAACTTTAAGCAAAGCTGATTTTGGATGGATTAATACAAAAAAGGACTAGTTCCCAATGAATTCACTTATTTTTTCTTGCTTGAAGTTGCTTATAAGTGAAAATGTGCTAATGAGGCAATGAAGCTTTTGGATGAGACCATTGCCAAATGTAGGAAGCCTAATTTGGTTACAATGTTTTGTTGAAGGATTCAATCCCAATGTTGTGAGCTACAACATTGTGCTATGGAATTTGTGCTACGTGGGACAGTGGAAAGAAGCCAACAAGCTTTCGGCGGAGATGGATTGCTTAGAGGATAAGGTGGATCTTGTGGTTGTCTAGAGCAGATGATCCGTATGCATTGTAAGCCTAATGAACGTACAATGCTATTGATGTGCTCTGTGAGCAGAGAATGGTGCGAGAGGCATTCCCCATATTTCAATGCCTAGCAACCAAACAAAGTTCATCTCAGAATGATTTCTACAAGTGTGATTTCCAGTTCATGCAGAGAAGGGAACACATATCTCCAGCATTTAAACTTTTATATGAAATGACGGAATCCAGCTCCTCAGACTCTTAAACCTATTCCTCGTTAATCAGAGGATTATGCTTGGAGGGACTGCTGCTAGCTGCAATGGAAATTTTCATAGTAATGGAAGAAAGTAACTTTAAGCCTGATGTTTACAATTCCAATGCACTGTATTTTGGATTCTGCAAATCCCAGAGAACCGATCTAGTTTTGAAGGTTTTCGAGATGATGATGAAAGGCTATGCCTAATGAGACAACATATACCATTACTTGTGGTGGAAGGGATTGCTCATGAAGGACAATTGGAGCTTGCAGCAGAAGTATTGAAAGAGTTCCATAAGAGAGATCATTGATCTATGATTTTGATTCTATGTTTAATAGACGAATACAACAATATATGGCAACAATCTATCTCGTATATTAGACCACATATGGGAGAATAAAAGTTTCAACTTCAAACGTTTAGCATACTAAATATAACTGTTTACATGGATCAAACCACAAAATACCAACATAATACTATATAACATCTCAATCTTAAAACTTAAACCTAGATTTAGAAGAAAAACAGATAAGCTTGCCTGATAATACCCTTAAATCTTCATTCAACATATGCTGGACAATAATGAAGACAAGGGGTTTCCAGGGCAAAACTACTTGGATCTCTGCCTCATCTTTCGGCGCTTCCGCTTCAGTCTCCTCATGCGCTTTTTCTTCCACTGAAAAGAATAAAAGATAGTTAAAACATTTTATTTCAAATGACTCACAAAGCAGATTATTCTAAGGTGCTGTCATCTCCATTTAGTTCAAATAACTAAAAATTAATTTAAACCAAAGCACTCCATTTTTATGGAAATTAAAGCAATTGTATATCCTTCTTCAATCAGATCAACTCCTTTTGTTCAAGTGAAATAAACAAGGTTTTATCCAAGTCACCAGAAAAGTAAAAGAAATAATGCTTAGGACAAGAATTTTTAGCTTGAGTGGCATGTAATATAACATTCATTTCCCCACACAGACCAGCACCAAAGCTCGACAATGTAAACACATATATCAGCTAACAACAAATTAATTTCCTCATTGCAATTCATCTCAGTCACTTCCCAAACTAATATCCAAAGAACGGGAAAGACACTAAATGCCAATCAAAATATAAGAAATTTCCAAATTGATAACCCATTTAAAAATTTTATGTTCAAATATAATTCACTAAGATGAAGGCTTCTCTCACCAGCTTTCCCCATTTTTCTGTTTAAACTCAATAATTTCTCAACTTCACTAAGTTATACTTTATTTTTTTCATTTCTTTTACCGCGTTGGTTATAATAACTTAACCAGAAAAAACATGAGTAAAACAAAGAAAGCAATTAAAACTAAAGAATTCGATATAAACGAATTATAATAATTAAACATATTCCAGGCTCTCATCCTTCAATCCACCCAAAAGTACAGATATTCTATTCAGACGTAACTTTCTTTTGCATATAGATGTCAGATCAGGGATCAAATTATAAAACCCTAAAGTTTCACGAAATCTAAAAACGCAGAAACTCAAACGAGAAAAAACAAACTATTTTTCAAACGCAAAAGGGAAATTAGTTATTTGAAGAAGAATAAAAGAAAGAAATAAAAAAATCAGGAGATGCGAGATTTATTGAAGATGTAGAGGGAATTACCTTGGCTCTCATCTTGGTTTAGGGCTCTGTTTCGATTTGTCGATGATCTCTCTAGAAAGGTGACGCCTCAACTAAGAAGTGAGAGAGTAGAGGAGGGCTTCGATTGATATTTAAAGGCTTACGTTTTCCAAAACCCTAATTCGTTCGTGTGGAATTTGTATTCACGTACGAGGGTCGTTTTGTAATTAGGGTAAATTACGCATTTAGTATTTAAAATATCAGTTTTGGTCTGTTTTAGTGCCTATACTTTTATTTTTTCTAAAACTATATCTAAAGTTTAGTTTTTATTTTATTTTAGTATTCTTGTTCAAATTTTAACATTATATTTTGACAAAAATTGAAAGTTTAGGTACTAAAATGGACTAAAATTTATAGTTTAGGTACTAAACACATTAAAATTTTAATGGTTGGGTACTAAAATAAAATAAAAATTAAATGTTAAGTATATTTTTAAAAAATAAAAATTTAGATACTATAATAGATTAAAATAATAAATTAAGTACTAAATGTATAATTTACCCTAATTATCTTCGTCAAGCAGATTTGCCTTCTCTCACTCTCAACTTAAAGTTGAGTTTTTGACATCGATTTTAAGTTTGGGATCTTATAATTATATTTACTTTCAGTTATTTTTATTTATAAATTTTTGGGTAAAGTATAAAAATAGTCCCCAAACTTTTAGGGTACTTGCATTTTGGTCAACTAACTTTTGAAACTTACAATAAAGTCATCAAACTTTTAGTTCATTTTCATTTTGGTCCCTATCATTACCTCCTGTTAATTTTTGCTGACGTGGTACTTAACCCTGTTAACTCCTCCTCCTCCTCCTCCTCCTCCCTCTTATTATTCTTCTTCTCTATCTTCATTATCAGCTCCAAATTCGCTTAGAGTAAAAATAAAAAAGAAAATCGAATTGCAAATGAATATCTTCAGATTTGCAGGTGACATGACCCATTTGATTAGCATCTTAGTTTGTTAGTTTGTAAATAATATCTTAGATTTGCAGGTGGCATGACCCATTTGATTAGCTCCAAATCTTGATCACTTGATCTTATGCTTTATTACTTTGAAAATATGAATTTCTATTGTCTTATCAAGAAGAACCTACTGTCCATAAGATGTAAATGGAGTGCGGACGTTTAGGAAATTTTCTTTATTCGATAAGTTTAGGCTTTAATGTGAATATCAAAACTTTAGATTTCTTCAAATCACTTTGTATCATTCTTATATGGTTACTACATATTGTTGTCTTCATGTGATCTACCTGGTGTTATTCCATCAATATTTTTTAACATAATCTAATTATCTAAATGAGAACTCATAATCAGTTGTGCCTTTGATATTTGCAGGATTGTACATTGAATTGAGACTGTAATTTTTCTTGTTGCCATCTTTAATACACCTATTACTCCTACTGAGAACGGTGAGCTGCTTAGTTCTTCTTCACAAGACAATAGAGATTCATATTTACAAACTAATAAACCATAAAGTGCCACATCAACAAACACTAATCGGAGGTAACGACAGGGACCAAAATGAAAATGAACTAAAAGTTTGATGATTGTATTGCAAGTTTATAAAGTTAGGCGACCAAAATGCAAGTACCCTAAAAGTTTGGGGACTATTTATATACTTTACCCTAGATTTTATTAGCTATTATTTTTCATTATTTTCATTTAAAAATAAGCTTTGATCTCATTGTCGAGGTTGTTATATCGTGAATTAGAAGGGATTATTAGCCGTTTTTGGTGGAGAAATGAAAAAAAAACTAAAAAATAATACATTGGTGCTCTTGGATTTGTTGTGTCGTTAGGAATAAAATGAATACATTGGTACAATTTTGTATGTTAACAAGCGTTGAATATCTTTATTTTAATAATATTGTCATCTCAATATTTCTGTCATAAGATGTCTCAACTCAAACTATAGAGTTTTGTACGCATGAAAATGTCTCTACTCCACCTACAAAGTCATCAGGGACTAGATTGATTCATCTAAACCGCTAGAGGGCGTCGAATGCCTATGCTCTTTTGGAATTGAAAGAACTCTTTTGAACATCAATAGAAAGAAATTGAGATGTCTTCAACCTAACAATAAAAACTTCTTGTTTGTCGATTTATAGAGCATCAAGATGTCTCCCCCTAAAAACTTTTAGATTCCTCTACATAGTTTATGGTATTATACCAAGGAGAAGTTATTGTACACTCTAGTTGTTATAACCTAATGGATCCTCTCAAGAGTGTTGATATGTCTCCGTTCAACAATAAAAATCTCCTTGTTGCTATCATTTCTATGAAGAGGAGAAAAAAATTGCCAATCAAACTCCTTCAAATATGTCAAGTTGCCTCTTCCATGACCAAAGACGCATAGATATATATGTTGTTGAAAACATTTTGATGTTTCGATATAACAAATTAAGTATAAATGAATTTTAAGATTTTACAAAGATTTTATAAGTATATTCGATTCAATTAATCGAATATCAAATTATTACTCCATGTCTTTCAAGATCAATTTCAAACCTTACTAAATGTGTAAAATTGTGTTTTATACTTAAACTATTTTTAAAACAATTTTCACAAAGTATTTTGAACCAAAATCAAGCCTAAAATCAATTTTTCAAAGTGATGCACCGATGCACCAATCCCTGCATCGATGCACCATGGAATAAATTGAACATTGAATGCATTTTATGCATCGATGCACATACCATGCATCGATGCACTGAGGGTTTTATGAAAACATCGAAGGCATTTGATGCATCGATGCACTCAGGTTATTTTGAAACATCGAATGCACTTCATGCATCGATGCTCTCTTAGTGCACCGATGCACTAAGGGTCCAACGGTCAAAATATTTGAATTTTACACTTGATGCACCGATGCGCCATGGGTATGCATCGATGCACTGACGCTCCCAACTGATTTTATTAATTGTTTTCACACTTAAACGGCTTTATTGACTCCACTAATCATCCCCAACGTTCAGAATCATTTGAAGGAGTATTTAAACAAGCTTAGAATCCATTGATCAACAAGATAAAACAAGAAGAAACAACAAGAATCAAGAATTAAGAGAGAATCAAAGAGAAAGCATCAAACCTCAAGTTTGAGCATTTCAAGCCTATTTTTCATTCAATATTAATTTTGCTTTCAAGAACACTACTTGTACTCAATTGTATTCATTTTTGAGTGTTCTCTTCTTTGTTCTAGAATATCTACCTTGTGAGGATTTCCTTGTAAGTTTGCAAATTTGTAATCTTCTCTTTGAGAAAGAGTGTTCTCAAGAATTAGGGTATATTCTTGAGGGAGTTGTAAGGTTATCTCTTTGGCCTCAAAAGAAAGAACAAATTAGTGAATTTGTTGGAAAATCCTTATTGTGGATAGCTAAGGTAGTGGGCGTAGACTTTGGTTGAGAAAGTCGAACCACTCTAAATCGTTGTGCAAATCTTTTTAATTTTCTGTAAAAGCTTCCACCAAAATTTTAATTACCAATTCACCCCCTCTTGGCCGATTCCATCAATCGATTAACTCAACAATTGGTATCAGAGCCTCACTCATTTGAAGGTTTAATCACCTCTTGAGTCGATTCGGGAAGAGTTACATTGATAATCAAGTCATCAATGGCCTCCACTTCAAACGTTGACTCTGGTCTTGATTCGATGCCCGTCAAAAAGCCTCATTTCTTCAATGGAGCTAACTATGGCTATTGGAAGACTAGGATGATGTATTTCATTCAAGCAAGTGACATGGGAGCATGGAATGTTGTAGAAGAGGGATATATCAAACCTCTCACTCATCCAAGATTGTGGAGTAAATAAGAGACAAGAATGTTCCAGCTCAACTCCAAAGCCATACATATCATATTTTGTGCTCTTGGACCAGATGAATATGGGAGAGTTTCATCTTGTAAAACCGCCAAAGAAATATGGGATAAACTACAAGTCACTCATGAAGGAACCGACGAGGTAAAAGAATCTAAAATTAGTCTTCTAACACATAGCTATGAAAATTTCAGGATGAAACCAAATGAAGATATCAAAGCTATTACGGATAGATTCTCAACAATTTTCAATGATCTCAAATCATATTGAGAGATCATTCTAAATGAAAAGCTTGTGAGTAAGTTAGTTTACTCACTTCCAAAATCGTGGCAATCCAAGAAGATGACAATTATCGAGGCTAAGAACCTAAAGTCCTTAACTCTTGAAGAGCTAATCGGTTCCCTCCTCACTCATGAAATGATGCTTGAAGATGAGGTGGACCTCGATAAGATTGACGAGACACCAAAGGAGAAGGAGAAGAAGAAAAACATTGGAGTTGCTCTCAAATCCACAAAAGATGAGAGTGATTCGGATGAAGATGTCGATGACGAGGAAATGGCATTGTTTACCAAAACGGTTCAGAAAAATTATGAGACCTTACCGAGGAAGAAAATTCAAACGAAATGAAGGCCTCAAAAATGAACCAAAAGAGAAAGACCCAATCATTTTCTATGAATGCAAAAAGTCGGGGCATGTCAAATATGATTCCCCACAATTAAAGAGAAAAGGTCAATCAAATAATAAGCACAAGGCTCATGTGGCTACATGGAGCGATGAAGAAGGTTCCGATGAAGATGAACAAGAAGTAGCAAACTTGTGCTTGATGGCATTCGGGGAAGATTCTAAGGTAACCACTAACTCATTTGATTTAGATGATTTATCTTATGATGAGTTATTAGAGGAATATAATGGGTTGGCTTCGGATTATGAGAAATTGTTTTTAAAATATAAAAATGATATTTCAAAATTGAAAAATGAAAATAAACTCATATCCAAAACCAAAAACGATCTTGAAAGTAAAATCAAAGATTTGCAAATCAAATTAGAAGAGTTTGAAAAGAAAAATTCGGATTTGCAAAATTTACTTTCAAAAGTCAATGATGATCATCAAAAGAAAATTGACGATCTTAAAGCTTCTTTTGATAAAGTTTGAACAAAACGTTTTGAAATTGGAGAAAATTCAAAATTCAACTTTGTTAGAAAAAGTTTTAAAAACTACAATCATAGAGGTCCCCGAATAACCTCTAATGGAAAAATCGTTAGAAGTATATTGGTTCCT